TTTTTGAGCAGCCAATAAAATGTTTTGCCTGCAATTAATATTAGGCTACGATATCGATGTAAATGAATATAGAGGCTATTCGTTGCCAAAAATCCAGCCTTTGAAACTCGACAATGCATACTTCGGTTCTACTAAACAGATTAGTAAAAATCTAATTGTCGATCCGAGAGTTACATACTGCACTGGTATTAAGCATTTTGATTATCTCTAATTGATAAAATGAAAGCTGTTAACATGCAACTTAGATAAATTGCAAACTGTATTTATAAATGTATAATTTCAACTTTGCGACATGTAGAAATGTAAACGATAGAACGTACACCATACGTTTAATGCTGTGCATCATGACGTTGAGAATGTTACTGCATCAACTTGACACACTCAGGTTTACAACACCACACTTTCCTTTTACATTCTAACGCTATTAACATTTGTAAACGATTTTGCAACTTCCATATATGGAATTATCACGGAAATAGACGAAAATTAATAGGCGGAGCCAATTTCACGAAAGCAGAATATAAAGAGAGGTAACTCTTGCTGGTACAAAAATATTTCAAATTATATAGTAACTGTTACATCAATCTTGACTTTGAACATCCTCTGATTCTGTTAAAACGTATTCTAGTATAGGATATTCAAGTAATGCAAAATTTGTTAAGATATAATGTAAAAATGTAACAACGTATTTACTGATAATGAGCATAATAATATGCAAAAACTAAAGTTGGTGAAATAACATAAGGAAATGTTTCCCATATATAATGACACACATCACTGATCATTGATATCAATGATAGGGTTTTGTGAGCCACGGCAATACTCTTAAGCATATTTTTTTTTTTTACCTTCAGCAAATAGTACTAGAATGCGATACATGGAAGGCACTTTTGGCAACACGAATAAAGAGAACTGAACAATAATCCTGTGCCTTCTTTCTTTAAAGGGCTATGTTGGATTGTAGAAAAACTCATTTTTGACCAAGTGTATAACCAAGAAACAATGCAAAGTTTACTGTCGATAATTCTGTTGTATAACCAAAACTTGTGAATTTGTCCCATTTTAATGTTGAAATAAATATTCAGTGTATCCTGGCAACTCTGTTTACCTCCATTTGGAGGTATTTTGAGTCATAGGATGTGATTTAGCCTTTTATTGTTAAATATATGTAAGCTGGCGTAGGTTAAGGTCTTTTCATGCATTGTGCTGAATCAATAGCTAAAATATGTGTATACATGCTGTCCTTAGCTGTTACCTAGATTTGCTGTCTAGATTTGCTGTCTATATAATCAAAAACAGAGAACTACTTTTATGTACATGAAATACTACACAGAATATTTATTAAGTTTTGTAAGTGATGGCTTTCTAAGAGGTAAAACAAACAAGGTATACATAAATTGATAATGAACATACATACATTTGGACTCATTTAAATTTTACTTATTGAAAAACAAAAATGGGAAAAATGGGAAAATATATGGTAAAAATAAAAAAGTTATGTACGAAAGGGTACATACAACTTTGGTTATAATTTTACTATTGTTAAAAAAATTTTTTTGTCAAGTCATACGCTAGAATTAAGGCTACTAATATAATAGTACTACTAGGAAAGACAACAGCCAGAATTTGGTCTGTATTAGTAATTAGTCGTATCAAAATCTCTATCAGATGTAGACTTGAAAATTTGAAAGTGGTAAGGTGGCAGCTTAACTGTAAATGTTACTCATTCCTATGCAAATTGGAATACCATCAGTAAAATTTATTTGTCGTTGAATATAGTCTTTTCAATAGTTTTCACTTTCTTGAAAAATATTTAACCTCAGACAGTATGTAACCTGGTGTTTTTGTTTTGTTTTTTTTTGTTTAAAGTTTCTTTTTCCAGGAAATGTGGTGTCTACAACGTTTTAAAACGTATATGCCTATATTCCTTTAAAGTCCGCTGATGTTGATTGTAGAACTAAACACCTAAAATGTATGATAAACGGAAACTACGCCGCTTCTTGTCGCCGACGGTAAATACCGAAAATGAGCGGAAAATACGTTTAATTACGATGATTTAGTGGGCGGGAAAATGGGCGGAGCTTATTTTATCTCGTATTGAAAAACGTGTAAAGCTGGATTATGCTGATCTGAATCATGATGGTTCGACAATGTAAAAGTAAGAATGTAACTTCTGTTTTGAGTATTCGAACACTTGGTATTGCTACTATCAGTTAATGTTTTGTCGTTTAACAAAATGTATTTTGTTGAAATGCATGTTAACAATGTTAAAATCGGCAAACTCAATCCAAGTATGCAACATTGGAGTTTACATACAAAGAAATACAATTGTATTTTTTCCATTAACAAACTGTTCAACTCAGATCAACAAGGCTGGATTTTTGGCAACGAATAGCCTCCATAAATGAATACCACGCACTTACATATGTTGACCTCTGATTTAGAATTTACTTTTCAAAAGAGTTGCTTATATTTTTGAAATGTGAACATCAAGTATAATCTATGTTCACACCTTTTTATTTGAAAGTCAGAATCAAACTGCAAAAAATAATTACTTTTCAGAACACGTTTTAGTAGGTTTCTATAAAAGTGATAATTATCGCCGTTCAATAATTATAACAGCCAATATTATGCGTTGGGGTGTTTATTTAATTGCATTATTGTGAAAATTTGTTAAATAATAGCATGTGTACTTATCAAATCTGTGAAATATTGTTTAATTACATTAAGATCAGGCTTTAATAACCTAGCATTGTTTGGGGTAACAGGCTTCGCTGGTCTAAAGTGGTGCGACTTGTAGACCGTTGATTTCTTTTTTTTTTTCTTTATTTTTTTATTTTTTGGATATTATTCGCATTTTGAGCAAAAAATTCTTCTCTTAGCATCCTGTTAAAATTTATTTGTCTCGTCAATGCTTTATAATATCTTTATATTTCGCTACGATTCTACTAAATTTATCATATATGTAGATGTGGGGAAATGACGTTACGCGCACTTTACCGATGATCTCATTGCTTCTTTTTTCTCGTTAATTGCTTTTGTTTCATTTGACTAACAACAGTATTTTGCAAATCATGCTGTAGTTCTAGAATTTGATTTACATTTACCATTTCACCTTTATGTTTTACATCCACAAATTTCTCCTTTAAAATATTTGTTAAGCGAGAAACACATATCCACAACTTCTTTACAAGTTGTCAATCTTCCTCAAGAATAAATTTCATCAACTCATCATCTTTTTCACTAAGAACACATATCAATTTATCCGTTTGATTTTCAAGTTTTTCTCGGAAAACATTCGTTATTTTATTTTCTCTACACATTTTTCAGCACTTTCTATGATAGCTATAGTTTTTTATTACAACCTAAGTTTAGATTAAGGAAGTAATTGTAAAGAGACATCTTCATTCCTGTTTCAACTCTTGAGTTTTATATTTCGTATAATTTCTTTTTTGTTATATTGATATTTGAAACTAATCGCCTTTGTGTTCACTCCTATATATGGTTCGATGACCTTAATGTGCCCTGCCAGTATGACTTGGTTGTGTCAAGGACTGTGTTCTGCCTTTATGAGCTTTGTTCTAAAATACCAACTATAATGCAATGCAATGAACGTCCTCGAGATAATGTGAACAATTTATAATTTCTGTCTTCCTATAATAACGATTTTTATGAAACCGATTCTAACGTGTATGGATAGATGACAAGAATTATGCACACCAAGGTGTACAACTGTAACAAAAAATATTAGAAAAATACACTCACTATACGTAGGTGTTTCTTATTATTTCTCAAAACATGTCGTAGAAGATCCTATACTGTAGTTTGATTTTTTTCCAGATTTTTTTCCCTCTTAAACTTAGAAGAGTTTTTCTAAGTATGTTTTTTCATTTCTTTAAGGATTTACTTCAATCCCCAACATGACGATAAAATAACAATATTTAAAAATCTATCTTCATATTTCCAGAATTATCTCCCCTAAGATGTTTCCTTGTTGATTAATTAATTTTCCATTTCCTTATTATTTCTTCATGGATTTACTTCAAATTTGAAATATACACTCATTATTTACACCTGAATAATATGTGTAAAAGTGATATATTTTGGTTTCCAACATGGATTTATACAGATTACCCCTCTGCCTGTCTGTCAGTCAGTCTGTCTGTCCGACCTAAGAGCTGTTTCCTGAATTCAATTTTAAATAACTGCAATTTTTCGAAAAAAAAAGTATTTAAAAAAAAGAAAACATGAAACATAAGTTATACATATTTATCTTAGTAAGAACATTGGATCTTTTCGTTTTCTATTGTATAAACATAATTTCCTCATAAGGCTGGGAAATTGAACACATTACTTTATTATAAAGGTATACTAGGAAGTAAATGTTAAAATTCATCCATCTCGTCTTTCACTATGACATAATTGAATGGCCAAGACCCGTTAGAAATTTGATTGGGTTCTTACCGGTGGAGAGTCCTTGCATTACTTACACTACTTTAAGAATTGTAAATTATCTACTGCGAGTGAAGATGTAAGTCACGTTAAAACGTATACAAATCGCTTATTGTTTAAGTAGGGATATAGAGACGTATTTTTTTATCATTCCCAATGTACCTCTTTTTAACATTACCGACGCAATTATTAAAACTAGAACGCTGATAATGATTAAAAACTTGATTAAGGTCATCTGATAATTGTTACTACGGAGTAGTTTGTGGTTAATAATTAATATTGTTAACGTCTTTCATATCATTAAATATTTATTTATAATTTATTGTTCGAGCCTCAGCCATTTTTCTTTCTAAAGAAAGAATATTGTTCATATTTTATTAAAAGAGACTGACTTTTAATAGCAATAAATAAAATATCAGTAATAGATCGATAAGATTGTTTATGAAGTGTTTATACGAAAAATACGAATATAAAACCTTTTAGCTTCCATATTATTGGTTTTGCGGTAGTTTTAGATATATAACCGTTATCATTTAAGCTCATGACACATGTGATTAAAGTCCGTACCTAGTAGTGTTCAGACATGGGTAACGGTAAGTTCTATTTTCTGTTATGTTCATGTTTATTATTATTATTATTATTTATTATTTAAAAGTTTTAAAATATGGGCAATCAAAAGTACATGTACCATTGAGAAGGGAAAAAGTATGCTAAGTACAATCATTTGTTTTGTAGATCTGTTTTGTTATTTATGAAAAACAAAAAGTAAAAGTAGGGTTGTTTGAAAATTGGATATCGTCCCAAGAGTATTCACATCAAATATTTTGCCCTCTCATACGAACGTTCAAATTTGAATATACAAGTTTTCTTTCACAGCTTACAATCATCGAATTGGTTTAAATCAAATTTGGTTATCTATCACCCTTAGTGGACATTAGAGGCATTTTATATCATTTGCATATATTTTATTTCAAAATCGTTCTATCATGAACCAAATGAGACATGATATTCTCTTGTATTTCGTCAGTTTTGAGGTTTAACATTTGTTTAGTATGCTCGTATTGACATAGTAAATATTACGTAGATAAACATCTTGATATGTTTTCAAAGAATACATGTATTCCCCTGCTTTTCTTTTAAGATACCATAATTTATTAAAAAGGCTATTATTTAACCCATCGAGACAATATGTCTAAAGCGCTTTGCGAGTTGGTCGTCACGTTACGTATTGTAGCCTTCTTTTGAGTGCAGCTGTCGGCCAAATCGTACAATTTTATCATTGGCATGTACAAATCTGGACTGGCAAAATGTAATGATTCTTCTCGTTTCTCTTGTTTCATCGGGCCGTTGTTTATGATTGTCTTTGTACCGTTACCGTTGCTACATGTTCTTTACCCTATAAGAATTTGTTGAATGATAATTATATTCAAGCTTAGTTCAGTTGGGGCGCTTTTAATAACTTTCAATTTGCGAACATTTGTTTATCTGAACATTTTGCATAGTTGTGTTGTTGTATAATTTATTAGTATTTATATTTATGCTGTCTATCGTTGTCTGCCATAATAATCAGCCGCCCCAACCCATTCATTGTGCTTAACGTATTTGTGGCATCTACCTTTGATTGTACATTTGGGATAAAGTCAGTTAACGTTGTTGAAAATTAATTCCATTTATATGACGTATTATAACTTGTACACAAAGACGAGGTTCGCAAACGCACGCACGCATATACGCACACACAGGCGCGTACGCGTGCGCGCACACACACGTACATATACACCTTTCATCCAATAAAAAAGAGCATATTTGAGCTCTTAAATGTAAAATGAAATGTGATATTTAGTATTTAGAATGATCAAAATTTTTGTGAGAACAATGACTTTTTGCTTTCATTTGGACATCAAAACAAGTCATCAAAATCAATGATACAACACACATAAAGTCCCTTAATAATATGCCATATTGACTCATTTTGATAAAAGAGAAAGTCGGAAATTGCGCTAATATGCATGTGTCGTTAAATGACGCCAATGTATGCGTGACGTTAGAATACGTCACTTTCCAAGTTTTGTATTATGAAACGGTAGTAGTTTCTAACAGATGTTTAAACCAGACACAACGTGTTGTACATTATTATTCGTAGTATATTACCTGGTCCGAAAGAGAAATAACAGCTTTCGAAAAAGTGGGTATAGTTTTTCACTACGAGCTCATAGGCACCCAGATAAAAAAAACAGGGTCCCCGAACATTTTAATGCAGCTTAAGAACAAAAACACTAATTTGTCTTTATACCGAAAATTTTAATGCAGCTTAAGAACAAAAACACTAAATTGTCTTTATATAAAAACTCCTGTTGTTGAAACCTTTTTAAAACTGAATGTTCAAATTTAAACAGCATTAACTAAGGATGTTACTATGTAAATGCATAGAAAAAAAATAAATAAATAAACAACAAGGAATATCTCTTTCAAAATAAATTTTGAATGAAGAATAACAATTCTACTTGATTTAAAGTATTTTGCTCAAGTATCACGCTTTGATATGGTTGTTTTGCATTTATGTTTTGTGACGTCATTTCCTTTATAACATCACTGCATTAATTAATATATATTGTACAAAAATTAAAGCAAGTATAAAAAAGCCTCACTTCAATTAGTAGAAGAAAGACACATAAATACAATAAGGTGGTGCGATAGCTCAGTTGGTTAAACCACTGACTATCACCCTGAGGTTCCGGGTTTGATCCTGGGTAACACCCTTTGGATTTTTCAGAAACACTTTCAGTGTTTCCCACCTAACTAGAGGTTTACTGGTACGAAACCCAGGTAATCCTGGCATGTATCAGTGCTATACACTGGTCACAGTGCTATACACTGGTCATGTAAAAGAACCAAGGAATCTATTCAATAAGGGCTAGGGACTTGTTCCCGGATTCCCTTGTATCTCATAGCTGTATCTAGAGTCTGCTGAAAATAAGTGCTTGAACTTTCGTAGGTTATCATTGACCGCCCGGTTTTAAGAAACTCAATCAATCAATCGAATCATAAATTATAATTAATGCTAACATTCAACGAAGTTAAGGTTATTTCAAAATCTTAGTAGAATAAGAATTAATAAGAATCCTGGCCGAGTAATTCATTTGACAAATACCGATTAGAGTTTGAATTCCAAATATAAAACTATTATTATTAATGACAAAAATATAGGAAATAATGTATTATTTGTAGTAAGCCCCGCGACCTCGCCAAGCAAGTAGTCAAGAATCAACAAGTTAAAGCAGCAAGCCTCCAGATTCATGGTAATTTTCAAAAAAGAAAAAAAAAGAAAAAGGGAAATGTATTTAAAAGTAAAATAATGTGAGGTGAACAAATAAAATAATTTTCATATTGCAGTCGGCACTAACAATTCACGACAATTACCAAAAAGTGGTCAACATATGCAAAAACAGCTCTTATTGTGTTAGTAACGCAGTAGAAATATGGTGAAAATACTGCAAATCAGTGTTAAATCCACATTATAGCATAAAATCGGCTATTTTTTCCCATTTTTGCCCATGTTATAACGGGACCAAAACCATGTGTTAACATTGTCACGCGCTCTTGTTCTAGCCCGGTTTTACATATGTGCAATACATACAGGGTCCAGTAAACAAACAAAAACATGACGATTTGGCCTTGTTTGCCAAAGAGTCATGCGCTTTTGTTATATTGAAATTATTGATTCGAGGGCATCAATCGCATAAGTAACGGCGAGCAGCATTCAAGTAACTATGCCGGAAATACGGCGTAGACAACGCCGCTAATCTTAGTTGTCGCCCTTCTAAGAAACGGACCGTTGTAACTTACAAAACAAGAATACACAAAATGATTACAAGAAAATGTTGTTTTATATTGATAAATGATCTTTATATTTCTTTGAGAGAATAATGTTTAGTGCCTGATTTTTTTATAAACTTGTGTGCTTGAGAAAAAAAAAATGATTCTAATGTCACTGATATTTTTTCTACCGTCAATCAGAAATAAATCTAGGAATTTCTTAGGGCCATGTTTTGTCTTGGGTAGAGTAATTTAATGTGTATTTTTTTAGGTTAATAAATCTCCAATGTACAGCTTTGTAAAATCAATTAAAATTCGAAATTTCGTTCGGTTCTGAGCATTTGTATTTCCCAAGATGTTGGCCACGGAAAATAAAACGCATACGTAAAACATGTAGATTTGAATAAATACCCTCCAAGCACATAGATTTAATGTATGTGTTTTGTATACAATCGACATCATGAAACTGTTTTAAAATTTTATGCTATAATAGCGTCAACGCACGTTTATTTCGTGTTATAAAGTCTGCTGAGTCCCTCGGAACTGTTGGAGTCCTCGCCCTACCGGGCTCGGCCACCAACCGTTCCTCGGGACTCTGCAGACGTTATAACACGGAAAAACGTGCGTTAACCCTATATAAGATGTAAAATATTACTTGGATCTTGAATAATTTTACCTTTCTTAATAGTTTAGTGTATTGTTCTCAATATTGATTTTCTTGAAATATTTTGGCTCATCTGTAGGCGTGCTAATTAGAGAAAGTCGTGATTTTATTGTAATACGGCGGGGCCGCGAATCGAACTATTTATTGTTTAAGGGTCCATGCTAATAAGCGTGTTTTCGCTCCGCGCCCCGCCGATTTAGTAGTTAAAATCTCGAATTTTCGCCCTGCGACCCCGCCAAGCTAAAAGTCGATTGATAACATGATAAATGGATGGGGCGCGGAGCGGAAACACGCTAATAAGTTGAAGCGCGGGCGACATTTAATAGATAATACATAGCTCACGGGGGCGCGGAGCGAGAATTAAAAACCGTCGGGGGTATAGAGCGAAAAAGCGGTAACTAGAGGATCGCGGGGCGATGTTAAATAAATAAAACGTTGCCCCTCAGGGGTGCGGTGCTATAGTTAAGGAATAAAACGGTGGGGAAGCGGAGCTAAAATAAATAGCTTTGTTATTAAAGGGTTCGGGTGCGGAGCAACAATACGCAAATAAGAAAGGGCGCGGAGCAAGAAGTCGAGCTTTTTAAGAGTAATTTTCCGAGGGCACGCACATCAGCTCGCTAATTAGCGTCCTATAATAGTAAATATTTCGCTTCTCGGCCCCGTGGTAAAACAATAAAATCTCGACATTTTTACCTGCGCCCCCACTAATTAGCGTGTTGTCGCTCCGCGGCCCAGCCATTTTAACTTGTTGATTCTCGAATTGTCGGCGAATATACGAATGACACAAATCGGCCACCATAGGAAGATGATTTTTTCTTGCTGGTCTCTGGTTAAAGAAATATTGGCAATATGCATGTATGTTGATTCCTGTTAACTAAAATTGATATAGGAATGGTCTTCATACGATATTTTTGGAACAAATGCCTTAGAAAAGGATATACAATTACTTTTTGAAATATGACTCGTGAATTGTATTATGTTTTTATAGGTAATTCAAAGGAAAATCCATCGCCACTCAAAGATCCCTACAGAGATGAAGTTTGTACTAAAGAGGTAAGGAATATCAGTCATATGCCTTTGTATGCGAGATTTACTTTCATTTTGTAAATAAAATATCGATCATGTGAAGCTTTTAATTTACAATTGAATATTTATCATGCTAGATGTACAATCCATTTTGACAATTTGGAAAAATAATTAAATTTGCGTCATTAAAAAAAAAAGTTTTTCTGTTAGAGCCAAAGATGGCACAGTTGGATATACACTAAAGTAAGAACATTGCACAGATTTCAAGTTTCATCAACTAAAGACATATATATATATATATATATATATATATATATATATATATATATATATATATATATATATATATATATATATATATATATATATATATATATATATATATATATATATTCAAACCAGAATGCCTAGATCATTGATATTTTTGCATTGCATTGTACAAAGATTGTTCAAATTGTAGCTGGCCCGCCCGATGAAGTAATGTTTTCTTTATATATATATAAAAAGTTTCAAAAATCGTTTTCTTCAAAATTACAAGGGCTTGAGCTTATATACTTGAAGCAACTGTACTGCACATCTTTTAAGATTGTTAAATATAGCTTTCGGGTCAAATTGACCCTTTGAACAATTAGTTTTCTTAAAATCATAATTGATTTGAGCACATAATAAGAACACCATGCACATAATGATGATTTTAAAGGATAAATGTTTTTTTTTTGTTTTTTTTTTAGAAATAGGTAATTCTTAATTGCCAAGATAGTATTTAAGAAAAAATAACTTACTGCATTTCAAAGTGCAATACAACTATGTTTTACAGTAAATATCTAATTTTTTGATAAATTAGAGTACTTTAATTTTGAATCAATAATTACACTATGACTTTGGTATGTGAAATTTATACACATCTGCACATTGTTTGTCATTTGACATGCTGAAATATTACATTGACCCCCAAATCCGAGAGACACTATTATTATGGTAAAGTTCATTTGTATAGAAACAAGAAAAAACACACTTCATTTCATAAAAAGTGCTGTATTAATGCGGTGACGATATATGTTTTCAAAAATGGAATCTTGTTATCTTTTAGACAGTTTTTTTTATTTCATTTTAGCATTTGTAATTACCAATAATTGTTCAATCGTCATTTAAAAAGTCAATCTTTTGAAATATGCGACTAATTTATCTCTGCTTAACAGTTAAAGGTAAGTAAAATGCCACTTTAATACGGATTAATAATTCTCCACTAACCAATAGCAAATTATAAACCTATCGCACAATTTTCTACATGAAAAATCGTCCACTGTTACAATGATAGAATCATTCGCTAGATGCATATATTTTTGAGAATGTACAAAGTACATTTAATGCATGTATTTGTTTTAATGCGTGTTTGCTCAAAACAGTCGTTTTCAGAGGCTAATACCATGCTAAATATACGTCTTTTCTTTCTCCACCTGGTTAAAATTTCTTCGATTGAGAAATAGCTGAGATCATCGTCATGACAAAACAAGTTTTTCATAGTCAATATTGAAAGACAAATATAAATTGTACTTATTCCATACGAAAATATCCGGTATATGTCGTGACTTACACGATTTTGGTCATGTGTTATAAATACATCTTACAAGTTTCATGAAAATTTAAGCTGAATAGGTTTGCATTTCAAGAAGCATACATTATGTAATTACTATTTAATAATGTAACTTACTCCAAATTTGTATTACTCCTAATAATGAAAATTATGTCTTTTTGTATTTGACTGGAAAATATTATATTTCTTTTTACTCCAAAACTTAAGAATTTTGTATTTTTTTTTGTATTTGGCGGAAAAATATTATATTTCTTTTTACTCCAAAACTTAAGAATTTTTTAATTTTTTTTTTTGTATTTGCGGGAATTTACTTACTCTTATGAATTACTCCATACCATGATATTTATCTATTTACAGTGATATTTATGACTCTTTAAATTGGCGGGATAAAAACTTTATAACTATATAAGCGAATTACCATCTTTGTTAAAGAGTGAGTGTTAAATAAAGGTCGTTAAAAGGTGATTAAAAAGTGAAGTTGGATGTAAAAATGAAAATAAAATCACTCTTTGGAGTTCGGATGCGAATCATTATATCACTTGGCTACGCCCTCGTGATATAGTTCCTCGCATCCGTACTCAAAACAGTGATTTTAAAATCACAGTTTGGGATTTATTATTTCTTAAATATAAATTTATTTTAATTTTCAACTATTCAACTATTCATTTACTATATATCCTTGGATTAGCATAATGTCTCCTAAATAAAGTATTTTTCCTCAAATTAAAAACCACTCTCGAAATAATGTTAATAAATGGAATTATCGTTTGCACAAAATGAATCAATCTGTGTCGTTTTGAGTCCTGTTTATGAAGGAGTTTGTTATCGCATATTATTTTCATTTTTAAAACACTCAATTGATTGTTTTTTTTTAAAAATATCATAAGATGTTTATTTCATTGAGCAAAAAAAAAAGGTTTTGAAATGTTGGAGCTTTTTCTTGAAAAAGTTAAAGAGAGCCTCCTGTATCAATAGATTGCCATTTCCATGTGTACCAATGATCACAAATGTTTCAGTCACTTAACTTTAGAAAAAATTTAGAAAAGTAAAAACCGTCAATTAACTTAGTCAACATTATGCTTTGTCCAAATAAATTTCGGAAAAAGAGGCTTTATAAGAGACAAAGTAACATTAGAGTGTACAGAAACGAAACATAGATTATGTTGTTTAAGGACATAAGAGAAGTTTAAGTTCTATGAGACCTCTTGGCCTTGGTAAGGCAGGATGATGTGTTTGTAGAAATTGAAAACTCCACAAAAATGTATGGTCCAATGACTCTAAATGGTACTAAAAGAGGACAACGAGGTGCAAAGATTCTACCTTGAGGTCTGAATAAATGCACATTAACCCTTCATGGTGGAAGAGAATATTGTGTTTCAGTACTTGAGATGAATTTGTTTAAACTGCGCAATAGAGACAATGGTACAAGTTCATATGGATACATTTGCATATAAATATATATTTGCGTTGGTATATAAAAATTATAATATTATAATAGTAATCATGAACTTATCCGTTTTTTTACTATGATTTTTATAAGAAATTGGCCATCAGTGGCCTCGACGATAACTTCATATAATGGGGGTATTTTTTTACGAAGAGCAGAAATGAGTTGCGTTTTATTTCCATTTGAGCCGAACATTCGAACAATACGACAATTTTCCTGATATAAACAAAGAAGTCCGGAAGCGAGATATATTTCACTTTATATACACGTAGTTGCAAACCGACAAATTGAAGGCGGTATTTTGATTGAAAAAATCTGATAAATAAAAAACAACATTATGCTCTAAAAACTATCTAGATTTATAGAAAATGGTTTATGTGAGAAAAGAAATCCGAACTTCAATACCTTTAATTCGATCATTAACGCTGACGTTTGAAGAGTTGTTTACGCGTCGTCACAATGCAGCACCAAACAGCGAGTGCGAAAACGTCAGAAAAAGAACGCTATTTCAATGTATCAAAATAGTTGTAAATCACTTTGATAACTGTATTTTGCTTGAAAAAATATAAAAAAACAATCAAATAAACACAACACAACTTTATCAACATTTTTATAATTTGTTATTGGAAAAGAAAAACCTTAATTTTATTAGAAAACAAATTTAACCACCAAAAACATTAAGAGGATATATTTTCCGTTTGAGTGAAATATAGTATATACATGTATTTTCACTCAACATGATAAAATGTCACATATTTTTTTCACGAGCCGGGACGGCGAGTGACAATATTGGCATTTTATCATGTTTAGTGAAAATATATACCATATTTCCCAAAAATAACGAAAAAATATCCTTTTTATTTAATTTCATTATCAAAGAAAAATGGTTACGAACCCCCTTGCTTACTACGCAACTGCAATTGTACAGCGCGCAGTAATATGATTATTGTCTTTTTTTGCACGCGATATTTAGCGCTACATTGTGACGTCACGTAAACAACTCTTTAAACGTCTGTACAGCGTTTATGGCTGAAATAAAGTTATTGGTGTTCGGATTTATTTTCTTAAATAGACCATTTTCTATCATTCTACATAGTTTTCAAAACAAAATTCAACAATAGTTGTTTTGTATTTATCAGATTTTTCAAATAAAATGGCGAAAGAAGTCCTTTAAAATAAATATGCGTTTTGTCTCCGCCCATTTTCGTATTTTTATTTCATATTTATTTAAAAAAAATGAACTATATTTGACTGATAAAGCACCATATTTCATGGGTAAAATTAAATAAAGCACCATATTTCATGGGTAAAATTAAATAAAGTCCATATAAGATTTGTTAGAATTGTATTAGATCTTAATTTTAAGTGTTTTTTGTTATACATAATTATAGCACTGTAGCATTCAGCAATCAGAATTGATTTGAAGGTATGTATGGTCTCAGCATGTTGCATCTGAAGTTGAACATATTCGTATTATCTGTTATGAAAATCTTGCTTTACTTTGTGTGCATACAATATTGCGCACCAAGTGGTGCTTTGGTTCATTTTTGAGGGACAACTTGAAAACAATGTAGTTTCATAGACTGGTTCGAAATATTTAAATGTGTCCATTAAAATTGAATAACACAAACAATTAGCTTTAATTACTGGTATTTTAAATAATGATGATTATAGAGAATTTTTTTAAAAATGTTGTATTGCTTTTACAGCGAGGTGACGAGCTTTTGGACGAAATTAAGCGTGTTCTTGAAATAAGCGCACAACCTGAGAACCGTGAGAGAAGAATATGGAATTTGTTACTTATTGGTCCAAACGATCTGGGAATCGTCCTTAAAAACCCCTCCCATTAAGATTTTTAAAGGGTCATTTTACATGCGGTTGACTTTCTCGGGGGGAGCCTTTTGGGAAAATTCCCAGAAAAGGGTACAATTGAATGAAAAACACTCAAGTCTTTCCCATTATAAATAGAATAGAGGTTTTGCTTGGTATGAAATAAAAAATACTAGGTTGCATGATAAAAATCATTGTTCACGGTGTATAGCGAAAGCTATAAAAACGGTATCTGAGACATCTTTCGTTACGCAACGGACATGGTTCGTTCTAACAAACAAAAATCACAGTAGATGATGATATTTAAACAGAAGTAAGTAAGTATTTGTAAAAAGGAAAACGCTATAGACCTTCTGCTGTATTGTTCTAAAAAACATATGAAACCTAGTGAGATATTTTTTTTTTTACAATCATTCATAATTGGAGACATTATCTTTGTTGTAAGTAAAAAGCAAGTTCAATAGAAGAAAAAGAATTTAATAGGTGGGTGAAAGTTAATATGTAATTGGATAAAAGTGTTTCCTAACAAGAGATAAAATAATCCAATAGTGGCGGTAGAACATATCCAAAGATAATTGAATATGTGACTCACATACATCTTGAGCAGTTAATTCCGATCAATTTCTATGTTCATAAGCCATTTGATAAGCATAAATATGGTATATATTAGCGTTATTTGTGTCTTACGCATTTTAATTCTCGTTATCATGGTTTTGGTTTCGCGATTTATTGCCTTTTTTAACGTCAAAACGTCGTTTCTTTGCGTTACCACGCAATTTGATGTACGTTTTAACGCCATTTTGGCGTTACTATGTCTTATACATGTGCGTTATAACGAGTTTTGGTTCGTTCGCGTCATAACGCATTTTGTTACGCGTTATTACGCCTTGTGAATAACCTAATAAAGCCTTTTTTGCGATATTACGCCTTTGCTTTCATTTGCATTATTGCATATTTATTCGCACTATAACCCGTTTTGTGATACAATGCCTTTTGTTTCGCGAAATTACGCCGTTTGATTCGCGTTGTCACGCCTTTCAAGTATATAAGTTAATCTAATAATGATACTTATAGACCTTTGTCAATATAAACGCACAACGGAATATCAATATAATTATTAAGATCTACTGTATGTAAGGATTCAATTTATGAAACGGTATTTAACAATTTTAGATAATTTTATAAGCAATCCTTATAATTCGTAATTGTTCACCAGATAAATGTCATATTTTGTTGTCAGTTCTCTTATGAACTATTTAAATATTGATCAGAGAGTGATATGAAATAATCAATCTTTTTATAATTCTGAGAATAATTAAAGCCATGCTTATTTTGAAACGAACCCTAAAGACGTCAGTATATGCGAAGCCATTTTGAAATTCGCGTAACGTTAGGTTACAACGTAAATCAACGGGGAAAAATAAATTAAAATAATTAACCATATTATGTACTTTTTGAGAGAAGACAAAATAGGAAACATGCATAGATATATTGACTCCATCGTTGATTTGAAATTAATTTAAATGAATTTACACATAAAACAATTTAATTTAATTAATGTAAGACAGACAATAAGAGAATCGGCGCTGCAAGTTATTCAAACGCTTTCATTAGATTTTATTATCAATTTACAAGATCATAACGCATTTTATTATTCTTATTTTTACAAGAAGTTTGTTATTTGCTAAACATTTCAATTCACGATCATTCTTGAGCAAACAACGGAATATCATCTAATGATTTATGTATGGTAAGCCGTTGTTGAAATTAAGTTTAGAGAAAGTGAACATTTAATCGGCTTTGTTTAGCGTTGCACCAACAATATATACTCGTTGGCTAAATGGCGACTTGTCAGCTTTTCTTGTTGAAAAATACATCAAGTACCCCTTTGTACATTATTAAAGGCACGGACTGAACTTGAGTTGATAAAAGTTTGAATGACTTAAAAACAATCGATTAATAAAGGGATACTATTTCTTTAAAAATAAACAAGAAGGGAGACACAGGCAAAATTTTTGTTTCTTCGTTTTGAATTTTTCATACAATATTTTGTAAATATACTAAAAGTGAATTCACAAGATTATCACAGGAATAAAACTGTTCTCCTTATCAATAATAAAGTGGTGATTTCCTAACTTGACCCACGTGGGTCAGGTTAGAGCGTTAAGATTTCACAAAAGTTATCACAGTGAATTCTGGAAACGGGTCAAATGGATGACTTTGACTTGTTTAAATCATACAATATCCACAATATCTGTTATTGTAACTTCCAGGGTTTGTTCAAGTAAAATGACTTGCTTTAAAACTAATCGGTGATTCTGTCCGCGTCTAGATTTCGTTCAACATGCATAGATGTATTTACGCTTTAAACCTCAAATATATAGAATTTATACAGGCATTCATGTTGGGACTTAAAAATATTTTAGCGAGATTTGAGTATGTAAGATCATTTTCATATGTTTTTGTCATAAATTTGTTTGAGTATCCCTTTAAAATAAGATGCATAGCATTGATATTTGTGTTTAACAGTTTAGGTCGTACTACCCAGATATTCCATTTGATAATTTGAGGATACACGATACTGCCGGACTTACGGAGGGAAAAGGATTCACCATAGAAATGATGACAAGTCTTCTTAGTGGAAGAGTAAAAGAAGGATTTGACGTAAGTAGAACAATATTGGTTAGTTTTTATTCAATCACCAACATGACTACAGACTTCATAAGTTGATATTTCAAACGATTAAAATTTACTTAATAAAATACTTCAGAAAAAAGATCAAGATATAATATATCAGTTTGAATAATATTGCCCCATGCTTAAGTCAGGTTATACAAGATCACCTCGGCTGTAATCTAGGTTGAGCACATGAATTGATATTTTTTCCACGAGACGAATCTAATTTGCATTTCAGAACGGATAAATTAACCAATTTTAACCAATTAACATTAAATGAAATTACTCATAGTTACACAATAAAACGCCCATTACGATTTTGCAAAATTTGCTTTTGTTTAATTTTCTGCAATAACTTTCATAAAAGTTTCTCTTGTAAAGTTTATTTCTGACATGGGTTGGTGATCAAAGAGAGAAAAATAGAATCGTACACCAACCCCCCCCCCCCCCCAAAAAAAAAAAACAAAACAAAACAAAAACACTTAAGCATAATATTTCATTAAAGATGAAAAATGGTGTATTTAATTTAAAAACATCCGTTTATGTGTTCTTACGGCGGCTATCATGGAATAAATAATGATTCCTTTTATATCTCCTTTTGACCTTTAATCACTTACTGCGTACTTGTTGCCACCAAATATACATGTCTGACAACACGCACCGAACAAACTATTAGCACATAATCGGTAAGAATGCATATACTAGTACATGAATATGTTCTTTATACATAAGAAAGCTAGAGTCGCTATCGCATCAATAAGATGTCTCTTTCAACAACATCTACTATTCTCTATAACCTGTATAAATCGGTTTAAAGATGACGATAAAAACAGCGTTTATATTTTTAGCTCTGCAGCGACGATACATTTGATGACAAAAACCCCTTTTACAGGAACAAACCGACTGAGGCTGACATGGTACATTGTGTCATTTATATAGTGGATATTTGTTCAGTAGGAACGCTGGATCAATCGTTCATAGACATGATTCGGAATTTGCAAAAGAAACAAATAAAACCTGGTGGGTGTCCTGTGTATTATTACATATGAAAATGGATAAATATCCAATTCAAAAGCAAGCAAGAAAAAAGTTTTTTTCTATCGTTTTGTTATCATTTGCTTCTTCACTGTTTTTCTTTTGTTGTTTATTTAATTTCGTTTCGTTCTGTTCTGTTTTGTTTATATTATTTATTTATTTATTTTGTACGTTTTCATGGTTTCTGCTTGCTTTGTTACCGTTGTTGTTTTCTTAATTGGGTACTTCGTTCTATACTATTCTTTGACTTGTTGATAACAATTATTAATTTAAACACTCTATATCAAATCTTGATAAAACACGAAAGATTTATGAGACACATAATAGAATACAAGTTTGTTTTCCTATATATATAATTATATAATATAATAATAATATATAAATTTTGAGAAAATAAACGTTCATACAGTGCTAAAGTATAAATACCCAAGTTCTTTCGGCGTATTATGCCTTCATCAGGGGTGTATTACATGTATAATGTGCACACAATAGACCACAAAATCTCAATAAGTGTTTTTGAAAGGTATTTTGTAGATGCAACTATTTTTCACAAACCTATATAATTATATATATATATATATATATATATATATATATATATATATATATATAGACAAATCGCACGTAAAATCGGCACGCCGCAGCCGGGACTCGAACCACGGGTCTCTGGATTGCCGGTCCAGCATGCTAACCACTACACCACAGCTGCGTTGTTTTTACTTCGTGCTAATTGGCCTTATATATTAAAGATATGTTAAACTTTATTATGACGTCATCACTTTTATTACCATAGCGGATGCTATTAATAGCCTCTTTTACCCGTGATTCGAGTCCCGGATGCAGCGTGCCGATTTTTCTATGTATAATTTCCCGCTAATGACTTTTGTTCTTTCATCTATATATAGAAAGAAAAAAACCAAATGTGGCAGCGTGAGATTTCCTAGGATAATTCAAAATAAAAGTATTCCTGTTTACTTTTACAGATATACAGAGGATTTTAATTCTTACAAAATGCGATCAGTTGTGTGATCATGTCAAGAGAGATGTCAGACAAATATTCCACAGTAAAAGGGTGTTTGACGAAATTAACAGAGCAAAAGAAAAACTTTGTTTTCATGGAGGAATTATACATCCAATCGTAAACTATGGGGAACACATAACGAAAATTAAACCAGACATGAATGTCCCCATTCTTTTAGCGCTTAAGCAATGTATGAACTTCTCGAACGAGTTCATGAAGAAATGTGTTGCAGATAGTGCCGATTAACAATAAATATAAGTATGAAGAGCATCTGGATTTTTCTATATTTGTTTATGATATAATATCTGTAATTATCATGTTCTTTAGACACGGTGTAAATACAAATATATAACTGGTGGCTATCTTTACTAAAATCACCAGATATAAAACGCAGAACTAAATCGTATGTGGTATATTCCGATCTTTCGAAATCATTGATTCAAATTAGTCTATGCTTATAATGTGAAAATGATAGTTATGACGTTTTCTGTAATTTTTAACTCTCTTCCTTTTCAAAAACTAGTTTTAATGTATAAAGGAAAATATAATTTATTACCACAATATCTTATGCAACTTTTTCCACCATCTGTCGAGATGGCGTTAGAAAACCATTATTCGTTAAGAAATAATAGTGACTATATTACTTTAGCCAGACGTACCGAAATTTACTCAAAATCAGTCATTCCATCAGCTATTCAATTATGGAATAATCTTCCGACAAACATTCGCGAATCACAATCGCTAGCTATATTTAAAAACAAGATTAAACAGTTATATAAACCTCCAGTAGTTCCATCTTTTTTCTTATACGGAGATCGTTCCTTAAATGTCCACCAAACCCGAATTAGAAACAATTGTAGCAACTTAAATAATGATCTTTTTATTAACCATTTAGTTTCAAGTCCATTATGCCAATGCGGCGCAGACATCGAAAATGCGGAGCACTATTTTTTCCGATGTAAATTATATACTATGCAAAGACGTATACTTTTTTTGAATACCAGGTCATTTCATCCTCTCAGTAGTCAGAAATTATTACACGGTATTGATGGACTTGCAGAAGCCGAAAACATAAGACTATTTCAAGAAGTGCATAATTACATCAAAAGTAGTAGAAGATTTACCTAATTTTGTTTACACATATACTATATTTATTTTCATATTAAGTTTATTAAAATACTGCTGCAAATCAAGGTTTGGTGCGTTTATTATAGTGGCAAATTGTTAATGGCATATATTTTTTTTTCCATTTTACCTCATTAAGTCATTTTGTAATTTTCTTTGTTTTTTAGGTTAAGCGATTCTTTTCTACCAGTTAAAATACATGAAATTAATATCGCTTATCATATAAATAAATATCTCAGAATTTCTAAAAACCACATTTACTTACTATGTTACCATTAAGCCAACAAGATAGACCTTCAGGGGAGGACCCTAGATAATGTTGGTATAACTTTTGGTCCAACCCTTTTGTATGTACATTATATTCATGCTTAAGATATTGATGTTAGATTGTGTAAATTAATCATGTACAAAATATGCAATAAAATATTATTAAACTTCCTTTTTTTCTTCCAAAGGATTTCTCCTTATTCATATTTTTACACAGATTGAAAATACTTCTCAAAATAGTTGCAAATATGTATATTTAATTATTACATGTATTATATATATGTTTAACCCTAAACTCTTTTTCGACAACCTTTGAAGACTTTATCAAAGGAGAAAAATAACAACGAAGAATTAGTTAACTACATCTAACATACTACATCTTTGAAAAAAAGAAACAATTTGAAAAAAAAAAAAAAAAAGAACAAATGAATGAATGAGAAAACGTGACAAAACAACAAAAAATCCAGAATTCTTATTTCGTGGCACTTTTAATTGCCTTTATTTGTTTACTATTACAGATTAAAGGTGCTGTTGAGTTTAACAGTATTATTGGAAATATAACTGTTGCTCGAACAGATGTCAGTTTAAGATTAAGGGCTAGTACATGTAGTAGAAGTTTCTGTTAAACAAGAGTCCATCCGCCCGTTAAGATACAAATAGCAGCTTTCGTTGTCTTGTACAACCAGTCATTCATGTCCTTTAAGATTATGGTCTGTCAATTGGTAGCCTTTCATCTTGAATTCATTAGTTCTCTGAATGGTACGTTAGTCGATTTTTTGTGATGTATTATTTTGATGAGACCATAACATGAATATCATAAAGAAAAATAATGTGTTGTTGCCAAAATTAATGATCATATTTTTGAATGGGCTTGATTGACTGATAAGGTTATGCAACTCGGACTGGTACCTGACACATGTATTCAAGCAATGTATACACAAGCATTGCTGACATGCAGGAGCATCTGGCGGCAATCTGGAACAACAGACCGGAACTATTTGTGGAATTTTAGTAATCTTTTTTTATAGTTTCATCAAATTTGACCAAATAGTTGAGGAGAAGATTATGTTTAAAGGAAGTTCTATTCTAAGCGCTAGCGGCCATCATTATCATCTACCAAATAATTAAGAAGATGTCATTTGATGAATTTTATATTTCTAGCTCTAGCGACCATCTTGTTCGGCAGACCAGAGTAATTTAAGCAATTTTAGTAAAGGACTGCCTAGTAAATATTTCGGTAGAGTTTTATCAAAATCTACTGGGAAGTTGAGGAAGTTGAGGACAAAATAATATTTAACATTTTTTAACCAATGATGGCCATTTTGTTTCCTAGACCACAACCCTTTAAATACTTTTAAAAGGCCCATTTCAGGATTGTTTCTGTGTTTGTTCATCAATTCTACTGGATAGTTATGGAGGAGTTGTCCTTTAAAGGTTTTTCTTTTTGTAAGCTGTAGAATGTTAGTGTTTATGTTAGTGTTTCATTTTAATTTACCAAACAATTCAGGGGTAAATATTGTTTAAAAGGTTTTTCTAATCTTAAGTCTGGCGGAAATCTTGTTTAACCCATTACGCGATATACACACCTTTTAACGCCTGTTTCACCCCCCCCCCCTCTTTTGTTGTCTCAAATGGTGAAAAAATGTCTTATTTAGGCCCCTAACACTTGTTTTTGCTTGAGAAATGTTGTTAAAAAAAGTGACCACTTTCGCCAAGATAATTTTGGATTTGCGAGAGGCTATAAATGACCCAAGATTGATCATAAGGTAACGTGTAACCAACGCTGAAAAGCATTTGACTCTATCGCAATCCATTGAGAAATTGCAGCACTTTGAAATCAATTTTGATAGAAAAAATCAACGCAAAATAGTGATTTTTGGCAATTTTGAGATTTCCTCTCGTTGCCATGGTGACAGAAACTTTAAGCTTGAGCATGTTGTTGCAAGGGCAATGGTCCAGTGAACATTTGTGCCAAGTATGATTAGTGTTGAAGCAGTTTTTATAGTTTTATAGCAATTTGAACTTGTCACGGGAGACTTTTCAATGAAAACAGCCATTTTTCACAAAATGCTCATGAAGTAATGGGTTAAAAAAAAGACAAGAAAACGTTTAGTACTTTTAGTAAAGGGCTACCCAATGGTGATTTCTGTAGATTTTCATCAAAATCGAGGACATCATTTGACACTTTTACTTTTTTCAGTACAGACGGCTATCGTGCTCAACATACCGGAACAATTTGAGCAATATATAAAAATGCTCATCTTATATTGTTTTACGTGTATTTTCATCAGCATTTGTCCCACAATTAAAGTGTAAAATGTTGTTTAAAGGTGCAGATTTTCTGAACATTTTCAATTTTGCCTTGCTGGGTTTCTTTAGATGATCCATTTTTGGGGACCATCAAAGAATCATTCCCGTATAGTTTCATCACTATTGGTGCAAGATTTAGGAGATATCTTTTAAGAAAAATGTTAACGACGGACGTCAGACGCCGGACTACGGACAAAGGGATGTCACAATAGCATGTTATGCTCACGTGAGCTACAATAACAGAGGAATTTTTTGTTCCAAAACATGCTGTTCTGAACATCATACATCTATATTGATTACATAGATATTCTATGTAGAGATAACCATTAGGTCATGAAAACAACATAATTTTAATTGTTAAATCAGATACAGCTTTATACATTTATGACAGCAAAAATAATTTTAATCATCTATTAACTTCTCCAGCATTCGGTTATTACTATTTAACAAATCTAATCTTTTTTATCGAAATATTAATAATGAAATATGTCAATGAACCTCGAAGTAAAATCTTTGAAGGTCAACTATTTCTTTCTTGAAAAATCGTTTTGAAAATTACCATGCAATTTATGGAAATAAAAGGACATGGCATAAAAATGGAAAATAGTCCACGGTTTCAATTAAAACATATAGAATACAGTTAACACATACTTCTTAAAGTAAAGAATCTAAAATATGTTTTAATAAGACTGGTTTTTATCTTACAACAGGTGCATTACTAAAAGATTACAGGAAATTTAACTTCACAAGATGTTCCTCAATTTGAAAATAAAAGAATTATTCATAGAACATTACTTAACAGGTCCTCTCATATTGAGTACATTTAAGGGAAACAAAATCCAATACAAAATTAAGTTTAAAATATGATAAACAAGATCAACAAGGTAAAGCGGCGTTCAATGAACACAGCCCCCAGATGACAGCAACAAGAACCATTTGCAAGACGCCCAGGTGGACCCCAAACAAAAAACAGGACAAGGCACAAGGCAGGGCACGGACAGGCTAATCTCTTAAACGATTAATAATTTATAACTGATCAGGAATTCAAAGAAAATAAATAAATGATTAATTTGTAACTGATAAGGAAGTCAAAGAAAACAAATAAATGATTGAATAAAAGGCCCATAAAGTCAGAGGACACAGGGTAAGGGGACAGGAGACCTGGGAAAGGGGGTTCAAGTCTACAATGTTCTTTATGAGTAATTCTTGACAAAAATGTTTAATTATATAACTTAATTGGTACACTTGACAACATTTTTACTCCTTGCACAAGGTTAAAAAATAGCACAAACCTGAAATATGCCGATTTGCTGTTAAACAGGAGACAGGTTAACCTTAATAATTTTAAACATAACATAAACACGTATTTCCTATCGAAACCCTATTGACATGTATTTTATTGTTTAATTGTTTAATAAAATGATAATGGAAAATCAATACTATGCTAAACTGAAAAAACAACAAAAAACAAACAAAACAAAACAGAATAACCTCAACCATTTTGTTGTTCCCCAACGTTAAACAGATCGCAACAAATTAACAAGAATTTAATTATTTACAATCAACCA